TGTTTTTTTTTTTTTTTTTTTTACGGAGCGTATGCACACCGTCAGAAACACATTCACACCTTCGGTGGCACGCCGCTTTATACGCTCGCCTTTTTACGTGTCATTGCAAACTGTTTATTTACTAATGAACGGCAAGTTCTGACAAGACGTTCTTCCTCGTCGTACGCGGCCTGCAGTCAGGAGGAAAGCTCCGCCACATCCAGACACTTCTGATGAGAGGAAATTAAACGTTGACGCAGCATCACAGGTTCAACAAGGAGTGTAAACACAGAGAGAGTGGAAATAAGCAGATCTTTCATCTGGATAATTAATCTCTCGTTTATTTCCGAACCTGTTTTACCGGGAAAATAAATAAATAAATAAATACACACTTGACGTGTAAATTCTTGTTCCTCTGCAGTGTTTTTTTCCTTCTATAGATAACAGACCAAAGCCTTTTAATGAAAAAACATAACAGATAATAATAATTATTATTATTAATAATAAAAATGGTGCTAAGCTGCACACAAACGTGAAAATGTATTAATCACGTGATAAAACCGCAGGTGAAACATTAGCACGTGAAAATATATTGGTCACGTGATAAAATCGCAGGTGATACATTAGCACGTGAAAATATCTTGATCACGTGATAAAATGTGAAATATTAACACGTGAAAATATCTTGATCATGTGATAAAATCGCAGGTGACACGCTAACACGTGAAAATATCTTGATCATGTGATAAAATCGCAGGTGACACACTAACACGTGAAAATATATTGATCACGTGATACAATGTGAAACATGAACAAGTGAAAATATCTTGATCACGTGATAAAACGTGAAATATTAACACGTGAAAATATTTTGATCACGTGATAAAATCCCAGGTGACACATTAACACGTGAAAATATCTTGATCACGTGATAAAATCGCAGGTGACACATTAACACGTGAAAATATCTTGATCACGTGATAAAATCGCAGGTGACACATTAACACGTGAAAATATCATGATCACGTGATAAAATGTGAAACATTAACAAGTGAAAATATCTTGATCACGTGATAAAATCGCAGGTGAAACATTAACACATGATACATGTGGGGTGGGGGGTGGGGATCACAACTGCGAAATACATGAATTATGCGGGGAAATTAACCACGTGAAAATAAATGAATGGTGTTATAAAATCAGGTGTAAAACATAAAACTGTGCCCCGTGTAGGTGAATGTGAAAATAAATCAATCATATGAGAAATGACTTGTGAAAATAAATTCATTGTGAGAAAATCACATGTAGGAAAATTACAACACGTGCGCAACATGTGGACGATATGAATCAGGCGCGAGAATATCACGTGAAAATAAACAAACATTTGAACATGAATAAATCACGTAGGACAAAAGAGCTCAAACATCAAGCGCAAACATCACATGGGGCCCAATAAAGCCGCATGATTTCCACGTGAAAAATTCGTGTGTGATCAAATCACGTGAAAAATAAAACATCAAGCCTTCGATTTGAAACGGATCATGTTGGGGGGAAATGAAGGGTTAGATCTAGGGTTAGGAAAACGTGAAAATCATGTGACACAATCTCGTGTGAAAAGTAAACGAATCATGTGATATTATCACATGTGGACTAAGACTAAAACAGACACGTGAATCACTCACGTGTGAACTTTTCTATAACAGTTACACGTAACACACGATGTAGCGCACGTCCGTTTTCAAAACGGAAACCGGCTTTCACGCCGCTAAACCCGTGTTAGCATGAGCACTCGATCTGCGTGTCAGCTTTCTCATTATTATCGCTCCGAGTCGATATGTCCTGTCGCCGCCAACCCAACGCTGTGACGTGTTTTCAAACACTATCTGTCGCTCGCCGGGCCGCACAGGCCACGTCTGTCAGCTGGCTGACAAAAGACGTTTGTCAGAATAATAACGATGACGTTTATTTGTCTTTCCCCAGGCAAGGTGAGGCGCAGAAAGATCATTAGAGCTCGGGCCACGTCTGGCAGCCTGCCGACGAGCTCTGAATATTCCATGAGGAAAAAAGGCACGCTGATGCTGATCATGCTCACGTGCGTCCTAGAAACCGGTGGTTTCTCTCCTCGTCGTATTTTTCCCCACTACAACTGGAAAGAGAAACGTTTCCTGCTAGTTTTTTGTTTTTGCATGAACTTAAAAAAATCTAATTTGCATAAACCAATTAAACGTAATACATTATTACACCAAAGATCTGTCAAGTACGTGGGTTCTGATTGGTCAGAAGGTGGTGCTTAATTTTCCAAAAGTAGCGTAGCTGCAAATCACAGGATTGTATTAATACGCCTGTTCTAATACGTTAATGTTTCTATGGTAACAGCTCATTCACCGGGACTTACGTACGACACGCTACGTAATCCAAGCCTAATAATAACCTTTTTCGTTTTTTTTTTTTTCATGTTATTTAACAAAAAGAAAATTGTACATTTATGGAAGGAGTCTCCAGTGTCAGTGGTTTTTCCACCGCAGGATAGAAGAGTCTTCAGGATCTTCAGGATAGAAGAGTCTCTGCTTTTGTGGTACATCGAACTCTTTTTTTTTTGGCGAATTACCTCTTGAGAGAGAGGGAAATAACAACTTTACAACTTTAAATGTAACTATAAATGGATAAAAACTATGTCATTCTTTTTTTTTCTTCTCTTTTTAAATGATGGACAAATTGCTGTGGTATTAGAGGAAAACAACACATGCTGTTACAGATGATTTTCCTACAACAGCAAGCATACACGTTAGGACCCACACAGACCACTGGGTGAGCGCACCCTGCTGGCCACTTCTAGAAGCAACCTTATTTTTCTCCCACAAGGTCTCCCATCCAGGTACTAGCCAGGCTCAACCGTGCTTATCTTCAGTGGCCAATCTGTGGAAAGTGAAATTGTTTTTAAAAATCCAGATTCGTTCATTCATGCCCAATTGACTCAGAGCTGACTCGATTGTTAGCATTCCAGAGTTTGGTTCATTATCCTGATCGACCATCTCATTAGCGCTAATTGACTCCAAATGTGAGCTTCAGGTTCGCCAGTCTGCTATCAAACCTCCTGCTAATTTTTTTTCCCCAGGTCCTTTTTGTTCCTCAGGTTCCCCTTTTTGCCAACTTTCAATACATCCAGAGGAAAAAAATAACCTCCTTTTAGCAAGAACTGAACAAAAAAATAAATCCCAACCCAAATTTTATACACCAATTAATACAAAAGGAAGGACAGAAAGGTGGTGATGTCCCGCGAGGTCCCGAGCGCTTCCGTGTCGGTTTCTCGAGCGAGGTCCACCGGTTCGAGCAAGTTCAGCTCATTTCCAATTAGCTGTGAAAGTTCCTCTGATTAAAACGAGCCCCTTAGTCCCCAAACCCCTCATTATCCCAGCCCTCATGTTTTTACACCTTCCTCCCCAGCAATTAGCTCTCAGATATGTCGTTGACTTTTAATTACCGCGGTCACGACGGTGCGGATCAGTGTGAAGGACGTGAAGTGCCTGTGGGGTGAAAGGTCGAGTGAGCAAGTGGATGGATGGACTTTTGTTTCGGGAGAACATCACAGGACGTTCGGATGTCTGCGCTCACACTCGGCTGCTTTGTAGCGTTTCTGACCTGAAGGGGACGTTCAGAAGAACTACCTAAGGAAATGGGACACATCGTGCACATTTTTACGAGATAAAAAGTCCAAATTCCATCACTTTTCCCCGTGACTTTAATAGAAACCTCCGAGAACGAAGGACAAAGATGAGCAGACTTTGTAGCTGAGACGCGTCACGTGATGTCATCAGGACGTGAGTTCAGCCGAAACCGTCGTCGATTCACCTGCGTCGAACACACGTGCAGCAAAAAGGTCTCGTTTACCAACAAACACCGTGCGAAACGACGTCGACATTTCAACAATTCAAGTAGTTTTCTGCAAGAAAAATAAATAAATGAAATCCTTTCATTATTCAAACTTTAAGGAGTCTTTATTGGTCACGTATACATGTGCACAGTGAAACTCTTGTCTTCGCATACCCCAGCATGTTAGGAGGTTGGGGTCAGAGTGCAGGGGCAGCCATGATACAGCGCCCCCTTGAGCAGTGAGGGTTAAGGGGCCTTGCTCAAGGGCCCAAAAGTGGCAGCTTGGCAGTGCTGGGGCTTGAACCCCTAATCTTCAGATCAATATCCCAGAGCCTTAACCGCCACGCCTCCACTTCCCCTGTTGAGCTAATGTTTTTTCCAGTTCTCAGTTGAAATTTTATGAATTAGCATTTATTCTTGTCCTGGTTAACTTCGACGGCCCCAAGGTCGCTCACAAATATTCGAAAATTCCTGATTTAAAAAAAAAAAAATCTAACTAAAAACATGAAAAAACATTTATGATGTCGGACTTTAAAAGCCGTGTGTATTGACATTCCGTTTTGGGATGAATTTATTTGACCATTATCAAGCAGATTTTCTTTAGTTGCCGGGACTCCGAGGCCAGACCCTCATTTCATTTTTAATAAAGCCGTTTTCTTGCCTGATACCACATTTCCACGAGGCCAGGAGAATCAAATAAAGCTGCGCTGTTGTGTGTGGGATCTCTTATTCCTGTGGATTATTTGAACAAACAGTGCCTACTTTCCGTCTACAGCCGAGTGTTCGGAAGAATCGTCTGATTTATTTATTGTCTGTCAACACGACCCTTGTGCTCCCGGTTGAGGTTTGCGTTTCCTGCCACGACAGAGGAGTCTAATTCAATAAAAGTCTGAAAATCATAAGAAAAAGATGTTGAATATTCCAGCCAGATTCCACACACTTTATGGTTGATGAGGCTGGAGGTGCTTTTGTGTAAGTTCAGGATTCGGTTCTGGCCTCTAGCTATCTACAGATTCTTCAGGAACTGTTTTGCAAGGCAAGGATTTTTTATTTTTTTTTATGCTATACACCAAAGACATTTGGGCTTGAGATCAAAAGATGGATATGAGACGAGAGTTTAGGATTTTATTTCCTGGGGAGAGTAGTTTTGGGGAAGTGTTTGCTCAGTGGTTAAGATGTTGGGCTACTGATCAGAATGTCATGGGTTCAAACCCCAGCACTGCCGAGCTGCCCCTGTTGGGCCCTTGAGCAAGGCCCTCAATTACTCACATGTATAAATGAATTAAATGTAAGGTGCTCTGAATGAGGCCGTCTGTAAAAATGTTACATTTTTTAGATCTAGCTCATGAGAAGATCCTTTCTTTCTCCACACTTTGGCCTTTCCATCACCTTGGTAGAGGTTCATCTTGGCTCCAGAACTTTTGTGGTTCTTCTCTGTGTTCTTACCGTTGATGAATGATTTCCATCTCGTAGTCTATGTTTCTGCTCTCTTTTTCATCCAGTAGGACGAGGAGGGTTCCCCTTCACCCCTCTTTACTTCTCCAGCTGTTCTATAAGGTACTTCTGAAATGGATTGCAAATCTTCAGCATTAAACACGTAACATTTATTGAAAAGGACGCACTTGAAGACACGTTTCCCCCCGAGCTGACTGAGGGATTGTAGCTGTGACAACTACAGCCGGACAAAAATCGAAATAAAGTGAGCGTGCTCCGTGAAGCGTCGTTACGCTTGTATACGGCGTGTTTGTATTCTACAGCCACACAGCAACTCAAGGTCTCGGAAGATGGTGCAACTTTTATATCTCTGAAGTCAATTCTATTCTTTGAAACCTAAGACCTTCAGGAGGAACGAGGACGTAGAGGAGGAGGAGGAAAAGATCGGGTTCTCTCATCAGCAGTAAGAAACTCTTCACCTGCTGTTCAACCTCCTACTTGAACCCCCCATGCAGGCAGACGCAGAGACATAATCTGTATAAAATGTCATCAGATTGCGTCCTTGGCTGGCTCTGCGCTGCGCCGAGCCCGTCTAATCACCGGCGTGTAAATTAGGAACGACAGCGTGTGCATATTGAAGTGGGATTAGCTTCCCTGGCTGTGTGGAAAGTGTGTTCCAGTGTGTGAAATGTCATCGTGAAGAAGGGTGGAGAAAGGTTTTACCCCCCCCCGGAAGGGGTTGTTTTTTGTTTTTTTTTGTTTTTTTTTTTTTTTTTTTTTAAAACCCAATGTGTGGGGGGGGGGAGGGGGAAGGGAAAAGAAAGCGAGAAAAACACCCCAAGAAAAAAAAAAAAAAGGAGAAAAGAGAAAAATCCCCTCCCTTTTTTTTTTTTTTTCCGGTCCTTTTCTTAAAAAAAACTCTTTCTTTTAAAAAAATTTATATTTTTTTTTTGTGTGTAAATAAAGGCAAATATTCTGTTGGTATAATTTTATCATGCTAAAACATCGCACCTGGACATCAGGGTCTGATCATTATCGTTTCTATAGGAACAGAGGGGAAATGCATGTAATCGTTGAAATGTTGACGGAGATGCTTATTTAGCATTTATGGGAGGAGTCTCCATTTGTCATCGGCTTTAAATCGTTTTATATACCGATTACGTCGTCAAGTTCGAATCACTTTCAAGTAATGAATCCGATCCAAAACAAGTCCAGAAATTGCGACAAATAAGTCTAGTCACTGAACCAGGATAAAAGTAACGGCACCCTATAAAAGGACGATGAGGTTAGCTTGCATCTATGCTAACTGGTGCTCTGCAGTGGCTGAGCTGCATTACTGGAAGATTTCACCATTCCGCCATTTTGTTTCTTTTCAGATCTGTATATTTGACCTTCTTTGGAGTCGTGTGGGCGTGGCTAAATGTAAATCAGCTTTGCCGTGAATGTGAGAGGTAATTCAAGTGAAAATCAGCATTATTGCATTATAGCATAATCAGAGAATCAGTCTGAGTACATGATCAACAGTTAAATAAATATAGGGTTAAAGTTCATCGTAGTCCATGCTTTGTTTTCTTACACAGGGTGTCAATATTTCTAGCAGAGATAGTCCTGTTTCATTCTATGTGAGAGTTACTGAGGAACTGGATGTTAGCATATATCTATGTTGAATAGATTTTGTGTGAGTTATTGGTAGCTACATTAGCCTGTAAGTCACGCGTTCAACAGGAAGTTGCATCATCCAAATTTCCTGAAGATGGCAGGAAAAAGAAAAGTATACTCTCGTTTCTTTTTTCAATCTTTTCATTTTCTTGATAAAGTGACATTCACTTATGCACAACCTTGCTAGAATATTGTTAGCCAAATTATAGATTAAAAGTACATTTTAATTAGGAAAAAAAAAACCTCTTTTAACTAGAATGTCCTAAGCATTCTCATTCTATTAGCATGGATCCTAGCTAACCGCATTTTTATGCATTTCCTAATTCTATGCTGAAAGAAAAACCTAAAAAACAAAAAAAAAACACAGCCCTGTTACTCATTAAACAACAAAATGCACTTGCAAATAAAATGAGATCGTTGCCCGAGATGGATTAACACATTTTCCCCCAGGTTTTCACAGATTCAATATTGATGATAAATGATAGAAAATAAAGTTTAAGCGTTCCAAGAGCTAAATGGCAGCCCAAATTATAGAAGCACCATCTGAGTGCTACGACTTTCCTACTCGAGATTCAGGTCTTTGCTCTTCTGCTAAGTACTCCATCTTCCCAAAGTATCTTTCCACGGATATTAGCCAGCCAGATTTATGGGCGACGTTTTTGCTAGTGGAATACAAAAGCCCAGATGCTAACATCGTTCATATTGCTGGGACAGATACACCCATTTTTGAGTGTGTGGGACACAAAAGCGCAGAAAGCCATCGTTCTGAAGCCGTCAACTTTTCAAGTGGAGAGTTTTCAAGGGCGGGTTTCTGAAGGAGACGTATACTTTTATACTCTCGGGGACTTTTATGGCTGTGAGCTGCTTTGTAAGGTGATAAGCAGTAAAATTAGACCTACAGTTTCTCAGAACCTCAACAACATGCCAGCATGGCCTCACGGCCATGTCAAAGAATTCTTACTGAAGTTTCGCTGAGCTTTAAAAGAACCACTTTAGGGCTCAGAGGTTAAGATGTGAACTCTTCATCGGAAGGTCCTGAGCTCAAATCCCAGTGGCAGCTTTTTCAGCTTGGTCCCACTGCTGGGCCCTTGAGTAAGGCCCTTAACCCTCATGTGCTCAGTTGTATAAATGACATAAATGTAAGTCACTTTCATAAAATAGGATCCAGTCTATATTTGTAGTCAGAACTTTAAATATGCAAATCAATGTAAATACCTTCTGTAAAACGCCAGCTTCAAACATTTGGACACGCCTCTTTTATTGTTCTTAGTTTGGCGCAGAATAGTTTTAGGATCCGACATTCTACCTGCGGGGTACAGAGCGTCTGAAATTCAAGATATAGTCACTAGACTGAACCAAAAGAATCAGTCTTTAAGCTATTAAATAACTATTTTGTCTAAAGTAATTAACAGAGAGTAAATGAGGAGATTTTTTTCCAATACAGAGAAGAGAAGTCTACAGGAGGGAGGAGCTTACGCTTTGTGGTTTCTCCGTAACGTGAGAATTTATTATTATTATTCTATTATCCATCCATCCATACATCTTCTATAGCGCTTACTCCTTCTTCAGGGTCGTGGGGGAACCTGGAGCCTATCCCAGGGAACATCGGGTACAAGGCGGGGTACAACCTGGACAGGGTGCCAGTCCATCACGGGGCACAATCACACACACACTCACACACCCATTCATACACTACGGACACTTTAGACACGCCAATCAGCCTACCACGCATGTGTTTGGACTGGGGGAGGAAACCAGGGAAGAGTACGGGGAGAACATGCAAACTCCACACACACAGGGTCACGGTGGGAATCAAACCCTCGACCCTGGAGGTGTGAGGAGAATGTGCTGACCACTAATTATTATTATTATTATTATTATTATTTTACGTTTAACTTTTGAGAGAGAACCGGTGAAGGAATTGATGGTTATAGCTGCTATAATGTAAGTAAGAACAGGAACTAGCTTGTTTCATGGACACTCCACAGCATTGAACATAACTATAAACAGATCAAATGTACAATGTGTTGTTCTCCAATAAATAAATCAAAATTACTCCGTGGCCAAATCAATCATTCTGCTCCATCGCGCCGGCCTGTCCTGCCATTTTTATTTTAGTTTGCTATAACAGAATGACTTTGAGTCTTTTATTCCTCAAATGTTATTCAATACATCGACTATATTCTGGATATTCTCTCTTGAAGTCTGTCTGATGTAGACGTTAGGAGGGAAAGCTGTAGCATTATAGCAACAGTAGAATATTTCAGAAATGTTTATTCTTATACTTGCCTCTATATACCGTCATTGTGTTTTTGGATCAAATGAAATAAAAAAAAAATAAAAAATAAAAAAGTGGATTGCAGTATCAATTGTTCCTCCTATGCGTGGGATCTGCAGCGGGCGCGGCTTTGTAGTAAAGGCTTCTATTACCGAGCGCTGAGATGTGCGAGTGCATTACAAGTGGGAATGAGAAATTGCTGACAAAAAAACTGGGGCGGCTCAGGAAAGCCTTTCATAAATAAAATGAAAAGGGGTTGTGAGGTGTTCGCAAGCTTATCTCGTGTGTGTGTGTGTGTGTGTGTGTGTGTGTGTGTGTGTGTGGGTGGGGGTGCTTTTGGAATTAGACAATCAGAAGTACAGAAAATCCTCAGTACCTAAACATCCACCTTTCAAAATCTAAAAAAAAAACCAAACAAACACAAAAAGACACTAATACACAATTCCACACAAATATCTCTTTCCCCCCCGTCTGCATTTCCACACTGCTTTAAGCACTTTAAACACGGAAGCTGGGCTTTCCTAATACAATCGTCAATTAAATATCTGAGAGAAAAGCCCTACAAAGCTTACATGCTATGCTAACACGCCTGTCCTACACAATACTAACACTCAATGATCATCTGGGATGTTGTTGTTTTTTTTCAGCACTGCACGTCCCTCGCCGTGATCCCCTTCATCCTTTTCATCACAATGACTCGATCTTTAATTAATTCATACGCATTACTGCGGTTGTTTATTTTCCCGCTGTGGTGTTTTCTTCGTTCGTTTTCACTAGCTCTGTTCACACTTCCTAGTTCTTGCTGCCAGGAAGTAGCCTTTTTCACAGCGTAACCTTACTGACGTCTCGTAGAA